AAGAGTGTGTGATGTGCTACCTGCCTAGAGAATATAAACTCTCATTCTCACCCGTCAAGGAGCATAGTGCAAAGAATCGTGTCTTGTTAAACTCCCGGTTTCAGCTGAGAAAAATCTAATTAGTCTAATTAGGCGTGTGCAACAGTCAGAGATGGAAAGGCTTCTCCTATGTGAAAAGAAAAGTGAGACATTTTCTTCTTCCTTGACGAGAGTGTGAAAATATGCGTTGATGTAATCGACAAATCCACATCCTAACCCCTGAGCCCGATTCCTTCCTTTTGAACCTGCCTTTCTAAGTGTTTAATGCTGCTCCTGCTGATTTAATAAATCTGGTTATGTGCCAAAGGAGCTGCTCCCAAAGAAGATGATTAACAAAGAGCTTTACTCATCCGCTTGTGTAACAAGATACATTCAGGCGGCTCCTGGCACTTCAACAACAGCTGAGCGCTCGATCAAAGAGCAGAATACGTGTCTTCAAATAAATGCATGACGTTTAACAAGCTAGGGTTTTGTATCCAAAAATATCACACACACACACACACACACACACACACACACACTCACACACACACACCACACACACACACACACACACACACACACACACACACCACACACACACACACACACACACACACACACACACACACACACACACCACACACACACACACACACACACACACACACAGCATAAAAGGTGGAAATCCTTCTCTACGTGGAAAGGTTTTATAAGAAATCCAGTGGGATGTTTTCAGCTCATGCATATAGTCTTATTCTAAAGGCCCGCAGCAGAATGGAGGTCATGCAAATCAAATAGAATATATGCAATACCTAGTCAGCACAAAGGCCATCTTCTGTGTTGTTTTTGGTTGTGTTCAGTGTGCAGCAGGGCGCTCCAGACAGGTTAAACACTCCACTGAACTCAGCTTGAACTGCTGCTGAGCCCTGGTTTTGTCCACGCTGGGGTTAACACTGAAAGCTGGGTATTTCCTGGGTCACTTGTCCAATATGTAAGAGATCACTTCCAGCAGACTCTAGACAAATTCCCCTGAGTGAGAGTAGACGTGCTCACACTGTATCTACTCTAACTGCCGTCTTTCAATACTGTATATTCATGTTGGATTATACGATTAAAGAACAGGGAATAGTCCAACTTCCTCTCATATTTACAATTCTGCACACTTCTCTTTTTACTGTACATTGAAAGGAAGTGGACTGCCGGCAGTGTTTGGCAAATATCCCCTTTAGTTGTAGAAATGCTATAAGCTCCAAGGTACAATGCGCATCTCCATAGATCATGGCTGCTTTGAATAACTGTGTTTATTCCAGACAACAATTTGGGCAACTTTGGCAACACTTGTGATTCACAGGCGAGCGTTTCACACAAAAGAAATGCAATTTTGCAGCAGGAATATTACACCTGGAATGAAATCCTCCAGCTGAAATATTTTGTGATTGCAAACACTATCTCTCCTGCCCTACTTGCACACACAGTAGCAGAGAGTGAGAGCAGCTTTTTGTGAGTAATCCTCGCTACTGATTCCGGGCCTGTAATTGTAAGCAGCGCAGCAGGAAGTGAAGCAAGTCCCTGCTATTGACCAGCCTCAGTATCACACAGAGCTAAAACACAGGGGTGGTGGCACTGCCGCTGGGAACATGTCAATTTTGCTCTTTAGAAAAGGGGCACTGCTTGAAGACTGAAAGCAAATCAACACGGCTATCGACCCAGACAACCCATCCCTGTAAATTGCACTCAGAGTGCTGAACAAAACAACAAAAAGCATCACTGGGATTTTATTGACGGCCAACACTTTAGCGCGCCTTACTTCCAGACGAGGGTAAGATTGAAAAGAATCAAAAGAAAGGCTTGAAAGAGCGCTCAAACGCCTACAATAATGCAACTTTATAACAGCCTTTTATCTCAAAGTGTGACTCTTGGAAAGTCCTGCCCCATGTTGCTCAACACCACTACAGGTGAAGGCGTGGTAGTATACTGCTCTGTAGATAGAGGAAGTGACATCATGTTGTGAAAACAAGGCAGCGAGGCCTTGTTGTCAAACTCGTCTGCTCTCAGGTCACACAAGCTCCGTTTTCCCTGGGAACAGATCAAATCACATACTCAACGTGCAGCATTCTGACATCTTGTTCTTTCACGTGTTACAACGTGAAGACACATTGAGGCCTCCGTCATGAAGAGCACAACACACTGTATTGTTTTTCTCAGGCATGAATGGGAGCTGTGCAGATAGGCAGGAGCCACCTTGAGCAAACAGAGAAGTTTCTCTGTAAGGCAAACCACTGTGTGGTCATTGGAGAAAAGTACAGTATGTTGGTTTGGCACAAAATACAAATATGAACCTGAAAATGAGCATCATAGCATGACATTTTATAGAACTGCAATAAATTCTGGTTATGGACCTGTGTTGTCCTACCTGTCTGTAACTCTGCAAAATGCCCCAAATATAAGGAGTGTTTTATGGAGAGTGTTTGTTCTTCCAAAGACTGCGAAAGTACATACACAATCAGGCCTCTCCGACACTATCCAAAATATTGTTTCCAGCCTCTACCCCTGCTGTTCCAGAGAATACATTTAGGTGCAGCTTACTGGTGCCACTTGACATGATTTCAGGGTTAGAGAAGTCCTCCAAACTTTCAACATTTCAATCAGCAATCTCTCATCGGCACTCATAGCGGCTGAAGTGCAAAGTCGCCAAGTGTAGCTTCAAGGAAGGGACTTAAATATGTAATTTTATAACCTGCGGGTGAGCATGGAAAGTTTATGAGAGACCAACTTTTTACCGACAACAATTGAAGCTGTCGGAGAGCGTTTTATTAACCAACAGTTTGGACTATGGATAATGATGTTTTGTAAAGGACAGGAAACAGAGAGCTTAAAACAATAGTTCATAGAGGGATTTATTAATGTTGTATGGAAACACACATGTTCCACTGAGTGCAGCCAAGTGCTGAGCAACAACAGCGACTGATGAGTCAGCCGCTGCCATTATCACGCTGCGGGGGGAAACAACAAGCATCATATACTCTCAATGGCTCTGCAAATACACTGTTAAACCAGGTATGAAATTATGTTCTCTCTTAAAAACCAGAGCCCTGGGATTATGGACAAAGTCGCTGGAGGATTTGCTAATTATGGATCATCTTCTCTGTTTGCTTTCTATCCTCATACCTTGCTCTCTCACACACTCACCTTGTTTGTGAGAGGAGTGAGATGAAACAGGGGTCTAAAGAGGCTGTCACTGTCACGTTCCGTACATTTCGGGTGAATTACAGTCGCAGTGGAAATAATTGCCTGTCCCAATTATGAATCCATCTGCCGCGGTGGCTTTCTAGTTTGATGGGGAGGAAATTCCCGAGAGCAAAAACCAAACAATGTGCGAGAATAAGGCAAGGGAGCGTGTCAGTGGCCATTAATATCCATACAGGCAATTTCACAAAACACCTAATGACATAAAATGACAGACAATAATGGTAAGGTAATTAGTGTGTGTGATGTGTTAGCAGAGGTGTCAGTGAGCACAGGGGCATTAGAGTAGAAAAAGATTTGGGATAATATAAACCTCTGCAAGCACATGTGGACAGATGTACTCCAACGTTTTTTTTTTTTTTTTTTAAATAATATGATTTTAGGCAAGGCAAGGCAAGGCAAGTTTATTTATACAGCACCTTTCAACACAAGGCAATTCAAAGTGCTTTACAAAAATGGAAGACATTAAGAAAATGGCATTTAAAATCAGTCATTAAAAATAAAAGATAATAAAATAAACATTAAAAGAAAAAATACATGGATAAAAGTTACAGTGCAGTTTAAGATATGAATAGTTCAATTAAAAGCAGCGGCAAAAAGAAAAGTCTTCAGCCTGGATTTAAAAGTAGTAAGAGTTGCAGCGGACCTGCAGGTTTCTGGGAGTTTGTTCCAGATATTTGGAGCATAATAACTGAATGCTGCTTTACCATGTTTAGTTCTGACTCTGGGGACAGAAAGCTGACCAGTCCCTGAAGACCTGAGGGTTCTGGATGGTTCATAATTTAGCAGTAGGTCAGACATGTATTTTGGGCCTAAACCATTCAAAGCTTTATAAACCAGCAACAATATTTTGAAATCTATTCTTTGACACACAGGAAGCCAGTGTAAGGACTTCAGAACAGAAGTGATGTGATCCACTTTCTTAGTGTTAGTGAGGACTCGAGCAGCGGCGTTCTGAATTAGCTGCAGCTTTCTAATAGATTTTTTAGTGAGGCCTGTAAAGACACCATTACATTAGTCCAGTCTACTGAAGATAAAAGCATGGACAAGTTTTTCCAAATCCTGCTGTGACATTAGTCTTTTAATCCTAGATATGTTCTTTAGGTAATAGTAGGCTGATTTAGTAACTGTTTTAATGTGACTGTTGAAACTCAGGTCAGAGTCCATGACTACACCTAGATTTCTGGCTTTATCTGTTGTTTTGAACATTGCAGACTGAAGCTCAGCGCTAACTTTTATACGTTCTGCCTTGGCTCCAAAAACCATTACCTCAGTTTTATCTTTGTTTAATTGGAGAAAGTTCTGACACATCCAGTCATTGATTTGTTCAATGCACTTACTTATTTTACAGGATTATGTAGATGAAAATATGGCATCAAGGAAAGTATTATAAGTTAATCATGTAAAATGCCCTTTTTTAAATTAGTTTAAAGTCAGTGATTTTAATATGGCATTCCACAATACTTGTAATTCCTTAACACATCATTTTTTGTACTGATTTCATGTATTATTACATAAGTAAAACATGTAATTTAGTTTCATTTAATTCAAAATGTGTTTTTGGATGATAGTTGTCATACATTATTTTGTATTAAAACTACATTAAATATATAGAGTTGTTTTAATGTATGATAAAACTGAACTATAATACAATAACGGTATTATCTTCAAGAGAAAAGTTCAGTTGCTTTAATTACAAGGGTGGTGGAGTGTCACTGGGGAATGTAGTTTCCTGGATTTCTAGTGGCTGTGATTTCTTCCGGGTTCCTCGCTCAGTTTGTTTTGCTCGCAGCGCACGGCTCAACATGACAGTAAGTCACACTCGAGTTTTATCCCAAATACAAGGAGTAAAATAAGATGTAAACTTAGACTTTAAACACGTTTAGCTCGGATAAAGGCGGACTCGAGACACCGGGATATCATCCTGACCCGAGACACCTGTTGCTCCAGTTTCTACTGACAGGTGTCACTTTCCTCGAGCAAGGAGCAGCTTGAGAGACTACCGAAACTTGGATTAATTTCTTAATATATTTTCTAAAACACATTTGCAGGCATTATGAAGGTGACGGTAACTTTTGGGGACACCTCGGTGGTGGTTCCCTGTAAAGCTGGGTGGAACGTGCGGGATTTAACCGAGCAAGCAACGAGGAGATACCGCAGGGTTTTGGAGCAGGTAAACACACCTTTACACTCACTTAACATGTCCTCACGGCTTTCTCTTCACTCCATGTTGCTTTTGTTCCGACATAAAATACACTTTCAATACACTCTTTCTTAGCTAACATTAGCTCCCATAACCCTGCTCAGGTGTGTGTCACGTGATCAGTGTGGTTATTTTAATAATATTGGCGCTAGCTACTAGCTTAAATTAGCACCCAATATTCTTTGCTTTAAGATTGAGATAATTACTTACTTTGGTCCTAAACTTAAACTTGTCATCATAAGTTATAAACTTATCATTTAATATGAGTTTATATAAGTATCATTTTGCATGTTTTAAACAACCACACATTAGAAAACTATAACAGAAGATGCCTCAATTGACCAGAATGCAATGCAGCTGCAGTCAATTGTCACATCTGGTAGAAAAAAGCATGAATGCAACCAAGCGTAACACACATGGATGCACTGGGTTCATATACCTGTTCTGATGGGAGTTGAAAGGTGTTCTGGGAAATGTAGGATAATGCACTGATCACCTAATGTTAATAACTGCTGGTGTAATAAGACTTTTGTTTTGCGTTGTTTTGAATGTCCCACACATACACAAAGATGTGCACCTCCAGCTCCCTGATGCTGCAATCACTACAACATTAATCATCCTGCCGAACTGACCTTTTATTAATCAGCCGCCTTGTATGTGCATGCTGTCCCAGCGTGATAGGGTGCTGATGTGTCTCTGTGAGGATGTGCTGTCCACCTGTACAATAGCTCGCTGTTTAAGCCCCAGTATCTCGGCGGGCAGGTGGAAGTTTACTGTTTGATGTCCTCAATGTGGGCCCAGTTGAGGATGTGCGCTGCGGACAGGAGGCTTTGTCCTGTGAGTGATTGGGAATTAGGATTGGTGACAGGTCCGGGTCTTATCGGTTGGCTGGTCCCCATCTCAGCCCGCCCACGTCCCCTCCCTCTCCGCCAAGGAATGGAAGGCCCGATTGGGTGGCTGTATGGCTGGATGGATTGCCTCCTCACACACCTAGAAAACCACACACACATGGAGGAGCTCATGGTGCTCGCTGTCCCCTGAGCTGTCACGTCTCTGCTTCACTGACAGCCATGCCCACTCGTTGATCCTCAGCCAGACACGCTGCGATGCACAAGCCGAAGTAGGCCAAATGTGGGAGCCTGATTAAAATGCACCGGGGCCCTTGATTGCTTTTCACGGAGCATGTTAATTAGGAGCCCCTGACTCAGCAGTTTGCCTTCTCTTAATAGAGGATCATGAGGACAGTCCAGCTGTGGAGCTGCCAGAAAGAACCAAATAGATTCGACCTGCCAGCAGAATCCACTTAGCGCCCACATTAGCCACATATTTCTCCACTCTCTGCTCACCGCTGACAGCAGGGACAGTGTCAAAAACCTGGGTGTAATCACCGGGAATGTGTGTTTGTGAGTGTTGGTTTATAACCGTGTGCATAGGGAACAGGATCGTACATTTCAGTGCTGGAATGAACACCTTCGTAATTAGCAGGTTTTTGAATTTGATCTCAGCTATGTGACTACATGTTCACATGCTATTGTTAAAAAATCAAAGCCTCTGCATACAGCAAATTAGGCTATGGCTCGTTATACAGAGGGATTTGTAAAATATGAGCGTACATGATATAATGATGGTAATGAAAGATGTCAAAAATAGTTTAATTATTTGTTCACTGCTGATTGTGGAAGTTGTGTAAAGATTTGCAACAGAGGTGCTAAGTTATAGTTTGATTTTAAACTATTACCTGTAATCCATATAATTGCTCAATATAGTTCATCTGTTTCCCATTAGATGTTTAGTTTATAAATTGCCAGAATATAACAAACTTCAGTCAGACGTAATACAAAACCCAAAAGATATTTGATTTACAAATATTGTAAACTGAAAATGTTCCCATTTGTGACACAGAATCCAGCAAATGTGAATGCCTTTCTGCTTGATAAATGATACACTTCCAAGTTGTTGTGGATATATTCTGACACATCATTTCAGCCATCTTCCTCTAAAGTTAATGGTGAACAGTTGCAGGAGTGGAGAAGCGGAACAACAGCTGACTGGACCCCTTTATTAGGACAGGTTTGTAGCCTGGGGGACCAGCATGCACTGTGAGAGTTGTGCATTCTCAGGGGAAACAGCAGCTACTGTATCTGTCTCTGTCTCATGGTCACTCTGTGCAGGTTCAGTGCAGATTAAGCCCCTATACCAACTCTGTGCTGACACCTGAAAGCACATTATACTATTTGACAGCACTTTCTGTGTTTGTGTGAGTGCGAGGAGTGGTCCGGTGTGCATGCAACTCAGAACTCGTCTAGTAAAAAGCAATTGTAACTGTTCGAACGTGCTGTTTCTCGTCCTGATGTTGTTTCATTCTGTTTTAGACTTGGCTGTTAAATGATATTGTGTCAACTGTATACCCTGAAGGAAAATTCCGAAATCTGCATGGCGACATAGCAGCATCCTCAGGCCAGACGGCGTTCACTGCTTTAGCTAAAGGGCAGCTGGACAGATTCCTGCTGGTCTGTGACTTTAAACTTGGCAGACATCATGGCAGTGAAAAGCAGATGTTATTGTGTGCAGTTCTCCTTTACAGAGGACAAACATTTTGAGTTAATGCCATCCATGCGGACAGCTCGTTAACAAAACAGTAGAACATTCAGCATTTGAAAGAAGTATCTTAACATACTATTTCCCAGATTAATCGATTACCTTATTGTCAATAAACAGTCAGAAATGTGTGAAGAAATTGGGACCAGTGTTTTTAAAAGCCTTAGATTACATCCCTGAGTGTCTTGATTTGTCTATTCATCAACTATATTCATTTTGACATGATAAAGGAGTGAAGAAACCAGAACATATTCACATTTAAGAAGCTGGCATCAGATTTCTTTAAATGTTCTTTTTAAGAAATGACTCAAGCAGCTGTTCTAATACATGGTTTATTAACAGTAAAATAGCCATTTTATTTAATAAGATATCATACTGTACATCCGATTGGTCCTTAAATCAATTGCTATATACAATTTATGTGAAGTTATTGTTGGCACTTGATGATGAGTAGAACGTGAGTACGGTCGATGTCTTTCTTTCCTTTCACTCAGACCAACTATTACACGTTTATTAAAGACATTACATCTTCGTCGCGGCTGAATCCCCTCCGTCCTCCTGCAGCTGTTTTAATTACACATTCTTCTAAGGATCAAAGTGTGAAACACCAGCACCACAGACCCTCTGCATTTAGCTCCACTAATCGCTCCACTGTTCTCGAGTGGTGTCATGTTTGTTCACCAGAGAGGGGGAAGAAGAAGAGATATGTCTTTGAATGGTGGGGGGGCTTAATGGTGTAATTTACTCCTCTAACTGTCACGGTAATTCTCCTCAGAGTTGACGGACGGACCCCTTTTTGTTTTTGATGTCATGGGAAGACACAATGAGGGACGTTATATATAGATGACTTCATACATTCATCGCTTTTCATCAGCAGGTAGAAAGAGAGTGTGTATGCCAGAGGTGATGCTAATTAACACTTCAGCATTGTTTTTGTTTTAATACGAAATATATGAAAATACCTCTTATTTCATTAAGGTGTGTGTGTTTGTGTCAGTGCTGCCACAAAAGAGCCAATTACCGCGCTTTCACACACTCTCACATACTGTTACAGTGACAGTGAGAAAGAGGAATGCAGGCAGTCGTTCAGGTCGGACCAGTTTTTCTGGCGACGTGTAAATACTTTGTTACCAGGTGTAGCTACATGTGTGCTCCACCGGTTTCAACGTCTCCATCCGCCCTTAAGTCAAAAGATCACAGTTTTGAATTGAGTTCTTTTCAGTGGTGTCACAATCCTGAATCTAATAATAGCATCTTTTAACTCGGGTTTGTCTGTTCAAGTCAGATCAGTTTGAAGCTTATTGTTTTATTTTCAAAGGTTGTGTTAGCTACCTATCTGCCTGCTTTCTGAATCTGCATTTCAAGACGCTTCAGGTGACTCCTTGCTTGGAAAATGTAAAATAAGTAAAACTTATAAAACAGCCTCTTTTTAGGGAGAATCAAAGCGATAAAAAAAAGCCATTGAGACTATTATTTTCTGCCTTCCTTACCTGAGATTCCCCGTTTTTGTTGACATGTCTACCTATCAAATGTTCCCTCTGAGATCTACAGTATAACTGGAATGTGTATTAACACCTCGTGTGAAGCCTGTGATCACATGGTATTATCCACATCATGTTTTCAGAAATTGCGCTATGAGCTAATTTACTGTAGCTAACTTGTATCTGAAGAAAGCCATCATGGAGCTGTGTCTCTTTTTATAATCCTTCTTCGTCAGGCCCTTACTAATTTCCCCTTGACAGTTTTTCCAGGGAGAGGATGCCCTTGGCTCCAGATCTTTGTAGTAATCTTCAAATCAACCTTTCTGTAGCATTGTGTGAAATCTGCTGTTTGTAGTTTCTCTCCCAGCTCTGGCGCTGGCATCATGACCTCTTCTGAAAGAAAGGGAGGCTCTGGCTTTTATTCCTGTGATTGAAATCCCAGACTCTCCAAACCATTTGTTTTTAGAGAATGGCCCATTGTGAAAGGCAAACACCCTTTTTTTATTTCGTGTGCCCCATAATTCACATTGGGAAGCAGCGAAGCAAGATGGAGCCCATTGACAGCGTCTCTTCTCAGTGATACAGCAGGCGCTTCTCTCTGGGTCTCAGCCAAACTCATTCCTCTCCTCCGAGGCTTACACCCTCTATAGCTGTTAGCTGCTAATGCAGTCTTGTGTTGCTCCGGACAGATTGCTTATTGGTATTGGCAGATCCTAATGGGCCATTCTCTCCTGCACACATTGTCAAAGATTTATTTTCTTAATCTAGAAATAGCTTTAATAGAAATTGTGCGGCCGATCCAGGAGGTTGGAATATCATTCAGTTTCATATTTGACCACGCTAAAGTGTAATATCTCTTGGAGATCTGCATAGCAATTGAAACAATGGACTCCAGCAAGAAAGGGGAAGATGCTATTGTTCATGTACTTCTCTGTCGGTTTTGCACACAGATTTCAGATTGCAGCTCAGTCAAAAGTCCTCTGACAATGTGTGGAGAGTGAGGCCGGGGTACTTCCTGTTCTGTGGGGTGTGTTCACTGACCTCTGTCTGCACGGTGACAGTGAAACTGGCCAGGAATGTGCCCACCACCGCTCCCCACGGAGCAGCAGAACTGGAAACGTTCCTCTCCTCCCACTCCTCCCTCTCACACTCCTGTAAACGCCGTGTTGTGCATGTGCAGTGTAATGTAGGTCATCTGTTGCTCTACCTGCCAAGCAAACAGGGGAACCTGGACCTATGTGTGGTTATTACGTTGACTGACTGTCAGCATGGTGTCACAATTGTTGTAAACATGGAATCACATCGACCAAGTTATTTTTACTGTGCGCTGTGTTGAAAACAAACTTTAACAACATAGGTGTGAATCACATGGATCAGACATTTCTTAGTATTGTTTACGTGAAGTAAATGTACTTAGTTACTGTGATATAGCAATAATATATACCTTTTTAGAGTAGATAACATACAGCATGTTGCCAAGGCATTGCACATGAGTAAAAATATAATTAAATACAAATAAAGTAAATGTATTCATATCAATACTAGAAGGATATATGTCTATAGTGTATCTCTAGAAAATATAATATAAAATATATTAATGTCCTTTTGTTATTTGTGGTCTGTATGAATGTTTTTTTGCCACATTTGGACTCCAACTCATATCATTGATTCTTGTAGTTAATTTCATAATTAAATCCATTATGTTGGCAATTCAACATGTTCTGTTTTTTTGTCGAGCCTAACGGTGAATTTCTAATCCTTGCTACGCTTGTGTGCAGCATGGGGAGAGCGAAGTGAGGACGCACCACCTGGAGTACATGGAGGGAGGAATCCTGGACATGGACGACCTGCTGATGGATCTGGTGGACGACAGAGACAAGGTGAGGAGGACTCCATGTTGCATGTGCTAGCAGGAAGCACTATACTTGTATTATGAATGAAGTATTGTGAAGCAGTTGAGATATCCCCGCCTAGAAATGTTTTTCACAGACTCACCAAAACATATTTGTTTAGTACAGATCCTCTTAAAACTCAAACCATAATAATGTACTATATTTTTTAATCATGAGACTTGTGATTAGAACATTTCAAATCCCTTCCAATCTTGTGAATGTTATTGCAATTGCAATCTCAGTCAAAATGATATTTATTTTCTAAATTGTGTTGCCATAATGTTAGCATCATTGTGTCCAAACACTGCAAAGTTGACTTTTGTATCCGGTTCATCTACGCTCTCTCAGACGTGTTGACATCTGACAGACAGCAGCTTCTCATGGTTGGACAGCTTAGCATAACAACGTGCGCTGCGATGCGGATGGCAAGCTGTTTCTTGATTGCTCTTACCTGCTATGAGGCACGCTAAATTACAGCACAGAATCTGTCATTCTTAGCCTGAGTCTGCTCGCGAAATTATTTTGACTCCAGCCTGGCAGCATGACAGGATGTCCAATAAACACGTTTTTAGCAAATCCAAACCTTGTTTAGCTTGTCACTGGCTGTTTGGACTCAGCTAAACACCAAATGGAACAAAGTAGCTTTTGGTAACTGGAAAAAAAAAAAGATTGGGTTTGATTGCAGCTTGCTTTGCGTGCACGGCATGCCTGGTAAGAAAATGAACTTGTGTTTTCTCCACTGCTTCCCTCTGGCTCTTCAGAAAGCAAGAGTGTGAGTGGTGACGGCGCTGTGTGATTTAGCTGTCATGTTCATTTTTTACCGAGACACTTGAAAGAACACCATTTCAGATTGAAAACAAATCAAGAGAAGGGGAAGTTCTGCGAAAAAGCACTGATGTTTCTTTACAAAACTAGGTTGGGAGTTGAAGTTCATCACACACACACACGCACACACAGAGAGAGACTGTGGCCCAATTTCTATAAAGAGCAAATTTCATTCCTCTTGCTAATTTCCCATAATGCATTCATAAGATGTGCTAATAAACTGCCCAAAATCCATATTCATAAGCCCCGGGCCCAGGCGAATGATGAATTATCAACACTTAGTCAGCAAGCAGGCCAAATGAAATGGAAATGGAATATTCAGCCGCCTCTGTAGCACGCAATAACAATTGGTGTTTTAAGCCGCATGAACAATAGTATGTGTTGTGTGTGTTTATGAGTGTGCATGTAAGACTCTTTCTGAAAAAAGGGGACATGACTAAATAATAGATGTGTAAAATCTTCAACGGTGGAGAAAAAAACCGTTTTTTTTGCAATCACACAGAACAGAAGCTCTATTTTCTGGGATGATGGAAATATAATCATGAGATCTGCGTCCTATTTGTGCATAGGAGGGGATTTTAATGACTCATTTCTCCCCGACCCAGGCCTGCTTTCTCTCAGCAGTGATGATGAAGTGTCACACATCAAATCCCGCTCCGGCATTTGATCAAATTCCGTAGCGGTGTTTTTTTTCTTCTTTAACCAAGCAGTCTCATTTACCTTTTTTGTTTCTTTACTCACTCCGCTTCTTCACCCAATTCTCCAAACGCCCTCCCCGCCCGCTTTCATCTCATTTTATCCTTTTGTTTTTCCTACGCTGATGAAAAGATAGCAGACGGAATAGGACGAGCGCACGTGATCCCCGATTTATCTCCAGTGTCGGGCTCTCGGAGATTAATGAGCTGTGCCTGGCATTCATGATTAGTCCAACTTCCCTTTGTTTGTCTACGTTTTTATTTCCCCCGCAGCACCGATTCTATCTGCAGTGTGTTTTTTTCCCTTTTTTGTTCTGTTATTGTGGCCGACGCTGTTCCACCATCAATCATACAGGAGTGGTCCCATTGTGAGGGCCCTCCACCGCACAGCATGGGCCCTGTGTTAGCCGCGGATGCTAATGAGAGATAATGGTGAGCTATTTGTACGCCTAGTGGCCAGCCCACGACCGTTATTCAACACACACACACACACACACACACACACACACACACACACACACACACACACACACACACACACACACACACACACACACACACACACACACACACACACACACACACACACACACACACACACACACACACACACACACACACACACACACACACACACACACACACACACACACACACACGCACGCACCTCTGTCCTCGAAACCACAGGCAGACGTGTAGCGTAGCATGTTAGCTTCAACGGAAGGAGCGCCACTGGTGGTTGATGAGGGCAGAGATGGAGGGGCGGCTCTGATTTGATTACAGTTCTGCCCCCTGCATCTACACACTCACACACACACACACACCAACGTGCACACACACACTGCGTTCATTAGCACCCCGTCTCGAGACACCGGCCACCAGCCTCCTCATGAATATTAATGTCAATCTGATGAATGTGAAGAAGGCCATGGGGTGTTGGCTAAGGTGTGACCACATGCACACAACACACACACAGTATAAAGAGAGCAGGGCACGCTTCAGTCAATTATACTCTCCTCTACTTTGACCCTTTACTCAGGGTGTGTTAGAGATACATGTTAGTGTGTGTGTGTGTGTGTGTGTGTGTGGCCTGCAGCTCTCAGAAGGCAGTTGGAGTCATTGACCTGTCAGAAACCCCACTACTTTAATGGTGAGGAGAAGTGGGCAGACAGCTAATAGATCTCATCCCCTTTTTGTCACGCTGTTTCGGTCAAATCGCTGTAGTCTCGAGACGAGTTAACCTACTGTATCCTCCGTCAGTACATCTCTGTGTTTTCCCACACACCGCCATCATGGACTAGAATGTAGGGATAGGGAATAAAGGATCAGCGATGAATGAAAACACTCACATTAAGATGATCGTAGGGAACTTCCATTTTTGGGATATCTGTGAAAATCAGAATTCTGAGAAAGAAAAAAAACTGGCTCTTATCCTCTTCTGTATGTATCTATGATGCAATTTAAATATTTGTTTCTTGACAAAACATAGGGTTAAACGAGTCCAGTGAGATTCAGATTGCATTAGATTGAGTGCCATTTTTAAGACTTTTTAATAATATTTTCATAATAATGAGATAATAACATCAATCCCAATTATTTTCATTATTTCATGTCCCATGCCTTTTTGTATGTAATAGTAGTGTGAGCGATATGTCCTTGGTGATATTAAATATACAGGATTTTTGCATGAGTTCGACGAATTATGTAGATTTCTCAGGTATTATTTCTGCTAAAATCCCACATTTCCATCTGTTGTTTTTACCTATTCTTCTCTTGTCTCGCCCTCGCCCCCCCGTCTCTTTCGCTCTCCCGCTTTTCAAAAGGAGTTATTAACAGATGTAGTGCTTTACCTTTTCACATCGGCCCATTTACCGCGACCGGAGCTGTCACTCTCTCCCATTCACAGTCCTTTGGGATCCTGCATTAGCCGTGGCCATTACTCCCAAATCTCTCCAGCGCACACAGGAGCTGTCAGGTGGGCTGTCTCATGCAAGCATGCCATTAACATCAACTTAAAACCAGCTTTCAAATGCCGAGCCCTCCCTTATATGTACCTTATACATGGCTGCTGTGCTCTTTGGAGAGTTTTTGCACTGAAACTCCACTTAGATGGTGTTTGATAAGAAGGCCATCTCCCATCATGCCTCTCCTTTCACCCTCATGCAGCTGAAATTTGAATATTTAACACGTGTGAGAGTCCTCTCTCGTCACGCCGGTCTTTTCCAGACTGGGAATTAAAGTCGGGGGGCATAACATCTCCTCATAAGTGGACTGTCACTCCTGATTCCACACACACACACGCACACACACACACACGGACCTTGTTTTCCAAAGGGGGGAAAATAACACTTAGAAAAAGTCAACCTTCCATCCCATGCAGCCAAACGAGAAATCTAATTTCATGGGAAATGTAATGGATAGAATAACTGGAATGATTTCCTCCAGCTCTCTTTAATTAGCCCCTTTTTAATCACTGAGCCTACGTGAATATCCCGTGCAGTCTCTGGCAGCTGGAACAGCTACTTTGTTATAATCATTTTTCTTTCTTATGAAATAGTTTTGATTAGTGGCGATTCGCTATGAATGTACATTTAACGCCCAGCAGCCTGCAAAACAATGTGAGCATGATGATCGAGAAACTCTCCCTTCTGTCTGTATTTGTCCCAGTAACAAACAATATTGTGTCTTGATAAACATTAAAAAAAGTGCCAATAAATGAATATGATTAAAATGGTTCTTAATTACAAAAGATGTCAGGACTCAAGAATAGATATTAATTTAAAAATAATCAGTTTTTAAAGGAAAAAGCCATTCTCTTCTTTACAATAATTAACTTAATATGTACAATCAGATGTATGATGGAGTATTTGCATTAGTATGTGCTACAGATATCTATATTTATATAAGGACAGAGGGTGCTGTAAAGTGTCCTTACTGTAAGGTAATTATTATATGTACAGCACTTTGGCTCGACCAAAAATCGTTTTAAAAATGTGCTATATAAATAAAACTTGATTTGATTTGATTTGATATTTGGGATATACGGACAACATTTTACTCCAGGATGCTGATCTGGCTTTGAAATGTCAACGCTTGATTGCGAAGACATCTCCCATCATCCATCTCTCGTGCGTGCTTACATGTCAGAGTGGAGTACGCAGAGCCGAAAAAGAAAGATGAATCCGTCTCATGGAAAGATGTTATGATATTTAAAGTAGGTTTGCGCTCCTGACCATCTTTCACATCCTTTGAAGAGGAAATGACACCTCTTTGAATAATGACCCTATTTCTACCCTATTTAGTTGATATTACTCAAACTAAGGCATGTGAAATTGGCACTAGTAATGAAACACTTTTCAAACTTCTGTATGTAGTCTTTGATATCTTAAGTTTTTCACTTATACAATGGCTTTTTTCTTTACACAAAGTAACACCATGCATATTGGTAGGGAACAATGTATCCTAACA